TGAAAGCTGCTCTTGGGGTCACATCTGACCATGTGAGAGACAGTCCTGGCACCTCCACACACTGGATACTGTGGGAGGCAAGGCAGGATCCGAGCAGGCCTGCCTGGAGCAGCGGGCCGGGCCTTCCGCTAAGCGACTGGGTGAAAACAGCACCCACAGCACAAACAGGGCCCGAATTCACAACAGACCCAGCTGCAGGTGGGGAAAAGGGGGGGGGGGGTTGGCTCCTTGGCTGCCTTCTCCTGCTGTTGCCCCAAAAGCAGCTGGAACGGTCACAGGGGCAGCTCAAAGTCCACCACAGCTCGTCTTCCCTCTGAGGACTCTGGCCAGCGTGGAAAAGGGCCCCACACATGCTCACTTCCACTGTTTTAAGGCTGCCTGTTAAAGAAAGGAAAATGAAAGCATCTGCTCACCCCAGGCTCCTGGAGGTTTAAGGCGGGCACCTAAGAACGGAGCTCCTTCCTCAGGAGTCAGGCTCCTGAAGCAGCCAATCTTTTAGAATAAGCCACGTTTCTGCCACATTTCTGAAAGTTCTGAACACATTTCTTCAAAATGCTCTCTCAGCAAACCACAAGGATTGACGACTTATTTGCAAAAGAGGCACCGAGCTCAGGACAACCACGCGGCAGCCAACAAGCATGAGCTCTCCTGCTGAACCCATCGATTCTGCCTGACGGATACCACTCCATTTTGCAGGAAATGGCCCGAATTGTGGACCACTCGTCCGTGTGCTGCAGAGCGAAGAGCCACTCGCTCAAGAAATCATTGCTCACCCTGGACAGGCTGCGAACTGCAAGGTCAGGGTAGAAGGGAAAACGCTCCGATGCAGGACAGCCACGGAAAACGCCACACACATGCCCCCCCCCCCCCCGCCGGCGCCACAGCAGAGACAGGCCATGGTAACGGAATATTCCAGAAGGGTCCTGGCCTGGATAAGCTGCACCCACATGTCCTCCGCTACTCCCTCCTCAAAAACCAGACCGTGACATCATCTACAGACATGCAGTCAAATGGCATGTCCTTTAGCCAGGATAATCCAGGGCAGGAAAATTATTTTGAATTGTAAGGTGTAACTCTGCTTAATACCACAGAGGCCATATACTTGGGGTTCCCCCAGGCCATGCAAGGACATGAAGCAACTCATCCCAAAGACAAGGCCGCCTGGCCGTGGGCCAACCGTTCTCTTTGCCTAGCCCGCATCACAGGGGTGTTGTGCAACGAGGAGGGGGCTTGGCTTCTGCCCTGCCCTCTTTGCCAAAATAACTGTTGGTTGCTAAGCTGCCGGGCCAGTAGACAGTTATTTTTCTATCAACGACAGCAGGAATTAAGCTGTGAAAATGAAGCTGGACAAACTCACCTCTTCCCTCCCCTTTGCAAAAGAGAAAAACCAACCTGGGAGCTGAAGCCCAACCCCCTGGGGGACCCCGGACTGGGGCGAGCTTGCCTAAAACCTTCCACCCCGTGCCATTTTGAAGCGGGAAGGGGCAAGACCAGGATGTGACCACGGGCTGGGGGTCCCACTCTCTCCCCTGCACTAGCGGCATTTTGAACATGTGCGAGAGAAAGAAGGGTGAGCATTTCCTAAACAAATGGCAAGAGTGGACTCCAGATTTGCTCCCTCTTCTCTGAAAAAGAAAGGGGCATGATACGCCTGCTATTACGAGTTCAAGGACAGGCTGGCCGTGCACACGGCGGGCACGTCGTGAGCGGAGCCGGGGGTCAGACTAGATGGCCCGGGAGGCCCCTTCTGACTGTTTCTGTGTTCCTATGAGTTGCACACCAATTCTGAGTCTGGAACCCACTGCACTTTCTGTTGCTGGCACCACAGACCAGCCAAAAGGCCAAAGGGGGGGCGAGGGGGCAATGCTTTTAATATTTTAATTACTTTTTAAACACTGGTGGGTTTAATCAAGTAATTTCATCATTTTTATTTGCTTTCAATGCTGTGCTTTGTCGCTTATTATCTTTTACTGTTCACGGTTCTTTCACTGTGTGTTGTCCTCAGACAAGGCTGCCTGAATAGCCAGCTTTTAAATGCAAGTCTGCCTGGGCCTTCGGATCTATGGGAGAGGCCCTTTCTCGCTATCTCCACCTTCGCAGGTGTGAGTGGTGCTGACGTAAGAGGCGGCCTTCTCACTGGAAGCTCCCAGGCTGGGGCCTTCGCAGCCAGGAGAGGCCAGGCGGCCCCGTCTCTGCCACGCTTCTGCTAGCAGGGAAAGACCCTTCCTTGGGCAGGCTTTGGGCTGGCTGCCAGTTTTATGGCTACTGTCAAGTTTTAAATTGTGCTTTTAATGCATTATCATCATCATCAGGACCACTGGGTTATGGAATGGGCCTTCAAAGAAGGCGGCAGAGGCCCCATCCATGAGGGTGTTCAAGGAAAGAGTCGACAACCACATGTTTGGGATTACATGAGTGGAGCTGGCTGCAGCTGGGGGTCAGACTAGATGGCCCTGGAGACCCCTTCTGACTCGCTTTGCTTCTGTGTTCCTATGATTATTGCTTTAACCAAGTGTGTATTCGTTTACAGTAGCAAGCCAGCTTCAGAACTGTTTTTCTGGTCGAGAGGCAGCATACAAATCAGAAGCATAAGCAAGGAGCGTGCTTACACTCACGACGCTGCTGAAGGGTAGTCCACCTGTTTCAAACAGCTTAGTGAGAATGGGCCCTATAGCAAGGCCCAGCTTGCCTGCAGGTCATGTGAGTTTTTCAACTCTCTTTAAACATAGCTGTGACCCCCAGGAATGTACCCAAGCCTATCAAAACTCCCACAGGCAGGGAAGGTTGCTGTATCCCAGCCTTACCCCAACCTGTTGCCACCCAGGAGGCAATACACTGGAGTAAGCCTGGCATAAGGAATAAGATCCAATCCTTGTTTAATCTGTTCGGAGATTCGACAGCGTGCCAGCCTACAAAGCTGGTGAGACCTGGAGTTCTTTCTTGTCTTGGACAGGGATTTACAGCTTCCCCAAGAAACAAAGAAGTAAAAGGCCAGAAGAGGGAGGTAAAGTACAGGCAGCTTTCCTTATCACATCACACACAATCTAAGTTTCACAACTGGGCAAGACGACGGGCTCAAAGGTGGGTGCTAATGAAAGGCAGGCTGGCCCTTTCTTCCTCACCCCCCCCCCCCGCAGATGGTGAAGTCATTGGTCACGTCGGAACAAACTTTGAGGGTCAGCAGCCCAGGACTTGCATAAGCTCCCATGATGCAAACCAACCCCATTTCCAAATAAGTCAAGCATGCCAAGCTCAGCACGGAAGGGAACAAGGGAAGTTACATCTCCCCCTGGCGTCACAGCCTGGAGCAGCCGGTCAAGAACGCATGATTCGAAAGTTACAGATAAGAAAAACACCAGGATGGAAACCAGGAGGGACAGCCCTCTGACCCTCTCCTGTAACTTTCCAGATCAACAGGGAATATCAGTTGCACTGCCAGAAAAACAAATTTGCCTTTTAGCTGGACTGCACAGGGTGTAGCAAAGTATTGGAGCTGCTCCTTAAGCTGTGAAAGATTGTAAGTGAAGGCAATCATGCTGTGTTTCCATTTGTTCTGGAACTCATGCTCACAACTCACGTGCTTGCTCAGGTAGATGAATAAGCCGAGTTCTAAAAATTCGGTACGCTACACCAGGATACCCATCACTACAATGAGGTAAATGCAACACCATTTCCACCTTCAACTCTTTGGAACAAATTTTGTAGCCAGATCAAACTGGCCTGTTTCAAATGCCCGTTTTAGAATGAGCCCCCCCCCCTTCTTTCAGTCCCTATTCTAAGCACACAACCAATCAAATGTGAGGCCAGAAATTTCCAGCACACACCAAAGAAATAGCAGTGGCTCTCCAGTGAGGTCACTCAGCTACAAAAGGAACCTCCAGGCCTACTTCTCTGACATTCATGCACCTGCTTCTGCTGATGCCACTGAGAAAGGGAAATGGGCATGCAACGCTGAGAGAATCGCTGCAGTTGAGAGCATGAAAGGTCTTGCATCCAAGCTGCCTGAGAAAGCATCAGCCTTGGCTTGGGACACAGCAAGGCCCCAACCGGCAAGCTCAGGCTCATCACTCACACGTGAGATGAAACAGCCACGATCCTTTTCAGGGTTCACCCTTATGCACCCAGGTACTCAGCCCTGCTCTGAAGAAGACCTAGCGCAGCCCTCCCATTTGGAAAACCCTTCCAGCACTGAATCCCCTCCCCTTTTGCCTCTCCCAGCCTGCACTCCCCTACCCCGTTTAGAATCACTAGCTAGGACCCATCCAGAGCCCTCGCTTCTTCGAGGTCCTCTGGCACAGAGCGCCTTGGTCCCCCTCCTCTTCTGCCAGCAAAACTCTGCACTCATCCGCCCACCCTCGCGCTCCTTCCTGTCAGAAACTCTCTCTGTCCCCTCAACTACACCCCCATCCTCAACTGAAAGAATCCCTCCAAGCAGGCAGCTCCCCCAAGGCAAGGCCTGACCCTCTGATTTCTTCTCCGCATGGGAGGTCCGGCCCCAGCCCAGCCCCTTCCCGCCTCTCAACCTCCCCCACGGCCTCCCTCCCCCTTGGCTTGGGACACAGCGAGGCCTCCGATGGCACAGCCTCAGCTCATCCCCACGGCTGAGCCCGGGCAGCCAGTTCCTCTCCCTTGAATCGCTGCACTTTTCGGAGCTCACCCGCGTGCCCCCACCCTCCCCCGGGCCCTTCCCTGCAGGCTCCGACGCATACGTCCCGCGCCGCTCGCCGAGGCCTGGCCCCGGGCCCTCGCCTCTGCCTACGTGCGCTCCCGCCTGTCCCCTCGATGATTCTGCATCGGGCGCTCTCGCCCCGCGGCCCTCCGGCCCGGCCCAGGCCGGCCCGGCAGCGCCGAGACGCCCAACGGTGCCCCCGGCACGCTCGCTTAGCTCCCCATCCCCCGCCGGCGGCCCCGGCACGATCCAGTCCGCTGCCCCGCCACTCCGGCGGCCCCCCGCGCCGGCGGCCGGGCAGGCGCTCCCCCGGCGGGGCGGCCGCACTCACCGATCGCTGCAGCTCCCCGAGCCAGAGGCTGGCGCGCTCCTTGCCGCCCGGTTCCGGGCCGGGGTACAGCGCCTGCACGCCACGACCCGGACCCGAGCGGCTCGGCTTGCCGGCGCCGCCGCCGCCGGGCCCCGGGCCGCCGCCGCCGGGGTCCATCCCGTCCCGCGCTCGTCCGCCGCCGCCGCCGCCGCGCCGCCCGCTACTCCTCAGGCCTCCGAGGCCATCGCGGGCGGC